TTTCTGGTACAAAGGGAGGGCCAAAAATTTTTATGTAGATTTTCCAGATTTTAGGGGCTCTGTGCCCCTAACCCCTGCAATGTGAAAGGGATAACTGTATATGTATACACACTCTATATCTATATCAATAGGCATTCTATCAAGTGTATCTATGACTTTATGACTAAGCTGATGACCCTGGTCTGTGAACTATTCTACCATAACGAAGGTATGTTTTTCTTTCTCTCTTTTTCTTTCTCCCTCTCTCTCCACACATATATACACATATATGTCTTCATACGATCTCTCAGAATTGGAAAGTTCCTTAGAAGTCATCTTGCCAACCTATAAATTGGATTTGACATGGTCAAGGCACCCTGAACCCTAGCTGATTTCATGGGAGGCTGAAAGATTTCCCTGATCCCAGGGACCCTGTAGTGCTTTCCTCAGTAATCATATTACTGGGGGCAGATCTATTTTGGAAACATGGACGTAAAGAGGGCTTTCTGAAGTCATCCCATGCATTTTCTCGGTATGATTTCTTTTCTAGCGTTAGGCATTTGCAAAGACAGACAATGCAGCTTTCTTCAGTAGGCCAGTCTCAAGTTTCATCTGTGAAGTTAGGAATCTCTTTTGAATAGATGACCCAAATTCTTTAATTTTTCAATGAAAACTTATTTCCTTGTGATTTGCAGAGAGGAGCATAACATAGCCACCAGTGGACCAGAAGTTAGCTTCTCATGCTACTCTATTTTGCCCCTCCTATGTACATAATCATATTCTAACTTGTATTCATTGAAAGAAAATCAGACTTGGACTCAAGAAACCTAGTTTCTAGTGCCAACTCTGGTACTTTCTAGCTGTGTGACTTTGGGCAAATCACTATCTTTTAAAACCTAAATTTCCTCATTGTAAGGGAAATGCCTTGTAGACCTTAAAGTCCTATAGCAATACATCTTCTTATTATATGTTATCCCCCTAATAGATAGAGTAGAGGGTCCTTACAGGCAAGGACTATGTCCTTTTTCATATTTGTCCTCCACCAAGGCCTAACAAAGTACCTCCTTCTCCTAAAATTTTGGTTCAGATCTTTGATTTTATCAATGTGGAGAATTCTTGGTACATAAACTCTTGTTCTGATGAAAATCTGGAACTGGTCTATAACTTCAAGTCTTAGAGTTTTGCTTGGGCCCACTGAGAAGCTGTGACTTATTTGTCTCTGTTCATACATTTAAGTCAGAATATGTCAGAGAAAGTCTATGAATCCAGCTCTTCTCTCCTCCTTTTTGTATTATTAAGTCTTTAATAAGTATTTGTTGATATAAATTTCTTTTTTTCTTCTCTCTTCCACTCTAAATTTAAAAAAAAATTAAAACAAAAAATAGTATTTGTTGGACTGAGCTGAATTGACGTGAGCAATCTACACTTTCCCAGAGAAGAGCTGTGTGTACATGTGTGGGAGACAAAGTCAGCCAGCTCCAAAGCTCTCACCTCTGTCCTACCTCTATGGGATAGCTAAAAATGTATTTCCTCCCAGGAACGTACCCCAGAAGTCCTACTGAAAGAAATTCTGCTCAGTAGCTTGGCATCTTAAGTTCTTGGCTGGCTCACTGGGTGGAGCTAATTTGGCTCTGAATCCTCATGTTGAAAATAAATGCAGTTCATTGCTCTGTCCTAGTTCTTAATCCATTAACATCTCCACTGCTTTCTTCCTCCTTTCCCCTCTCTCAATCCCTCCTCCACCCCAGGAAATTTCTTCAATTTCTTTCCCCAAGGTTCTTCCTTTTGTTGCTTTGTTTGGATAGCCACTTTAAGAATATCAAACGAGTTCCTGGAATCTCTTGAAAACCTCATTCAGAAATCTATTAAAGGGAAATCAACAATAGCCATTGTTAGAAACCAGTATCTTACTGCATTCATTTGATTCATTAATTCATTCAGTCAATAAGCATTTATTAAGTACTTGCCATGTTCCTGACATTGTGCTCCCACTAGGGATACAAAGTGCTGCTGAAGAAAGGTGGAGAAAATCATACAACCCTTCTGACTGGGTCCCCTACACATGTATTTACACAACTGGTGTCAGGCAATCCTACTATACCTCCCTTATGAACTCATTGTCCTACTCTCCACAGCAGCTCTTCCAAACCTTTGCCTCCCTCCTCAAACTTCCCATACCTTCCCTTCCCTTCCCCCACTCTTTCAGCTGAGAGCCTTCTTCCTATGTTGTAGAAAAAGTGGAGGCCATTCACCAGAAACTCCCTCTTCTTCCTTCTTCCTCATCTCTTTTCACTCAGGTACCTTCCGCTGCTGTCTCCTCCTTTACCCCTGTCTCACATGATGAAATAGCCTTGCGTCTTACCAAGGCTACTTGTTCAAGTAATTCCACTCCATCCCATCTCCTCCGTTAGATTGCCTCCTCTATTATCCTCAGTCTTTTGTTTATGTTCATTCTCTCCCTCTCTCGGCTTCATTTCTATTGCCTACAGACAGGTCCATGTCTCTCCCATCCTGAAAAATCCCTCACTTGATCCTTCCATCTCTGCTAACTATCATCCTATATCCCTTCTGCCCTTTAGAGCTAAAGTCCTCAAAAAGGCCATCTACAATAGGTGCCTCTACTTTCTTTATCTCTTCTTAATTCCTTGCAATCTGGCTTCCAAACTTATCATTCTATTGAAACTGCTCTGTCCAAAATTACTATTATCTCTTAGCTGCCAAATCCAATGGTCTTTTCTTAATCCTTATTCTCCTTGACATCTCTGAAGCCTTGCTAATCACTCCCTCCTCCTTGACAGTGTCTTGTCTTTGGGTTTTCAGGACACCACTCTCTCTTGGTTGTCCTTGAACTTATGTGACCACTCCTTTTCTGTCTCCTTTGCTGGATCCTCTTCCAGATCACTCTCTCTAACCGTAGGTGTCCCTGAGGGTTCTGTCCTGGGCTGCCTTATCTTTTCCCTCTATATTACTTCACTTGGTGATTTCATCAGTTCTCATGTATTTGATTATTATCTTTATGCTGATAATTCTCAGATCTACCTGTCCTGCTCCAAACTCTCTGCTCACCTCAAATTTCCTATCTCTAACTACCTCTCAAACATCTTGAACTGGATATCCAGTAGACATTTTAAATTCAATGGGTGCATAGTGGAACTCATCATCTTGCCCCTTAAACTCTTCCCACCTCCTACCTTCCCAGTCCCTCGGGCTTGAAACCTCAAAATCATCCTGGATTCCTCACTGTCTCTCATCCCCCGTATCCAATCTGTTGCTAAAGCCTTTGATTCCACCTTTGCAACATGCCTCCTATATGTCCACTTCTGTCCTCTGAACCTGCCCCCACTCTCGGGCAGGGCGTCATCATTTTACGTCTATAACATTGCAATAGGTCTGTATGCCTCAAATCCCCCCTCCCTCACTCCAGTCCACTCTCCATTCAGTCACAAAAAAGATTTTCCTGAAGTCTCATCATGTCACCCCGCTCCTGAATAAAACCCAGGGGTTTCCTATTACTTCTGTTTTGTTGCTATTATTCAGTGACGTCTGATTTTTCATCACCACGTGGACCATATTGTCCGTGGGATTTTCTTGGCAAAGATACTGGAATGGCTTGCCATTTCCTCCTCTTTGGATTAAAGCAAACAGAAGTTAAATGACTTACCCAGAGTCACACAACTAGTAAATATCTAAGACTGGATTTGAATTCAGGTCTTCCTGACTCCCAATGCTTTATCCACTGAGCTGCCCCTAAGATCAAATACAAAATGCTCTATTTAGCATTCAAAGCCCTTCATAACCTAACCATCTCTCACCTTTCCAATCTTCTGACACCATACTTCCTGACACTACTCTTTGATCCATTGATACTGGCTTCCTGACTGTTTCATGAACAAGACATTACATCTCTCAGCTCTAAACATTCTCTCTGGCTGTCCCCCATGCCTAGAGTGGTCTCCCTCCTCCACTCTCACTATTGACCTACCTGGCTTCTTTTAAGTCCCAATTAAAATCTCACCTTCTACAGAGGAAGCCTTCTCAACCCTTCTTAATTCCAGTACCTTCTCTTTGTATATATTAGTTTGCATGTTGTCTCCCTCATTTAATTATAAGCTTCTTGAGGGCAGAGACTGTCTTTTGCTTCTTTTTGTATTCCCAGAACTTAGCACAGTGCCTGACACATAGTAGGTCTTAATAAATGTTTATTAAATATTTTTAAAATATTAAAAAACATAGACAACAAAATAATCTCTTTCGTCAAGGATCTAAATGTCTTTAAATTTGTCAATTTCCTTTGTTTCTTTTGTCCATTCTACTGGGGCTGAGAGTATGATGGAGATGGGGGAACAACACACATAGAATAAAACATACACAAAATAAAATTTAAAAATTGCCTGAAGGACAGTCTTAACAATTGCAGGTGGGGTGCTATGATTTCATATATTACTCTTTCTTTTGGGAAACCTGCCATCCCTTCTTTAATGCGGTTCCTTGCCTCTCCTACTTTATTAAATACATATGGTCACTTTTGCAAGGTGCAGAGAGAGGACACAGAACACTGCCTTTGTCTCCTTTAATATAGGAATCCTGTAAGCCCTCAGCTCAGAAGATCATTTAGCTTGGCAACTAGCTCAGTGTTACTGCTCCTTTTGAACATGGTGGTGGGGTGTGTGTGTGTGTGTGTGTGTGTGTGTGTGTGTGTGTGTGTGTGTGTGTGTGTGTGTGTTTTCTTCCTCCCGGGGAAGCTGCCTATCTTCTGGGAGTTTAAATAACTGTTTTCCTTCCCTACTGCATTTCAGACAATTTGATTCTTGAAGGATAATGATATGACTTGAGAAAATGAATGCGTAGCTTCCATCCTCCCATGTGAGAGAAGCCGATTGGTGCTTTCCAGCCTTCTGCAGCACCTTGAAAACAGTCAAATTCCATTGATTTACCTGGAGAAGCCTATGCATGTCTGGGCAACAGCTGCATTGTTTGGATGTAGTCATCACTGGATGAAGCTGCATTAGCTCAGCCAGGGAGCACTCTTTGCTCTTTTTAAACTCTGTGGCACTGAGAATGAAGTCACTTCTCTTCTCTTAAAACCAACAGCTTTGCCCTAAGGTTTCCTGTTATTATTATTTTCAACCAGCTGCTGCTTGTGGATGGTCTTCTGAGGTAAGGAAGTTCCTGCTCTGTTGTCTTAAGGGTGGCTTTGGGCAATTTCTCTGGTGAGAAGGGTGCCAGGCCATGTATGGCTCAGGGACTCATGGCTGTACGTGGGGAGGTAGCCAGGCCAGCTAGAGGCAGCATGGGATGCCTGGGTTTGGACCTGGGCTAGAATCTCAGCTCTGCCATCTGTGTATCCCTAGCCAAATCAATCTGTCTAGTTTCCGCTTTCTCAACTGTAAAATGCAGTAGGGTTGAACTAAATGACCTCTCAGGTCCCTTCCGGCTCTAATCGGATTGAGATCTCAGAAGCTCCTACTTCCTGGTGCTGAGAGGCAGAAACAGGACTTTTGCCTAGGAAAGCTGGTTCTGAGGTTTTGGGGTCTGTAAGCCGGGTAAGGAGTTCCTTATTTAGCTTTGAGCTGGGGAGAGTGATATACTAATAACAAGGGTAATGATAGATAGTATTTATATAGCACTTTAAGGTTTGCAAAGCACTTTACATATATTCCATAGGGATGCTAAAACCAAATTTGGCATCTGCCTCAAGAACAAGGGGCAAGGTGGCAGCTTGAGGGGAACCAGGGCCATGTGGTCTCAATTAATTGTTGCTGTCTTGTTCACTCTGCTTTCCTTCCCAAGACTTTCAAAACTGGGCTTGTGTTTTTGGCAGGACCCTTAGCAGTCTGATGACACCTATTGATAGCCAGAAAATTAGCAGCTCTCCAGAGAGCCTTCATTTCCTGATTAGTCTGCTTGTACTCCTCATTTTTTCCTTGGGAAGTTAATGGCACCTGAACTCTGTCCCAACATACTGATACTTTATTTGAATGAGCACTTCACTGGCTAGGAGAGGGGTTTTCAAACAGCTTTTTCCTCTGGTTTATGGGACCACCTTTTTACTCTTTGCTTTCCCATTAATGGTGCATCTGTTGACAAAAGAGATCACGAAACCCTTCCATCAGGATGGGGGTAGTTAACTGAAGTTTCCTTGTAGAATTTTCAGCCTGTTTATATGAGTCATTCTTATTGCCTAAATTACCTCAACTCTACTTAGGTTGGCTTAATGAAGACATCACATTTATGGCAGAGGAACACGCCGGATGATAAATAGCTTTTGGAGGCAGTCAAGCAGTGATTAAGCCAAGACATTTGACAATTACAGGGGTCCCTTTATTATATTATATACCCCGATGCCAGAAAAATCATTCCTCTCTTGAGACAAGGCCCCTAGCAGCTCAGCAACCTAGCGTGAAAAAGGTAGAAAGGAGCTCTTTTGGACAGGAGACTTTAAGCTGCTCCTTTCCTTTTTTTTCTTTCTTTCTAGAAAACATTTCTAGAAATTTCTATTTCTAGAAAACAGCTTTAGAGGACTAGAAGCAGCAGCAGGGCTAGGTATGTGTGTATGAGAATCCATATATAGTGTTCAGTCTCTAGCCATGAAATATGTTATTACATATATTTTGTGCGTTTGTATGTCTGTGTTTGTGTGTTTGTGTACAACAGTGAAAAGCATTGTGGCATAGTGGAAGAGGACTGGCCATGGAGTTAGGAAGACCTGGGTTCAACTCCTTCCTTTGATATATAAGGGACAGCCAGGTGGCAAAGTGTTTAGAGCTTGGGGTTCTGGAATCAGGAAGATCTGAATTCAAATCTAGTCTCAGACACTTACTAGCTATATGACCCTGGGTTTAACCCCAATTATCTCTCCCTTCCTAAATATATATAGATAGCTATATCTATATATCTATATATCTTCACCCTTTCAGAGTTTGTAGTTAGGAGGCATTATACTTTAATACTGATTTAAGAACATTTATATTTAAGCTTAATTGTATTTAAGCTGAATGGTCAAGTACATGGAGAGGAGTAAGATGTAAGAAGACTGGGAAGAGGGGTGTGTGTGTGTGTGTGTGTGTGTGTGTGTGTGTGTGTGTGTGTGTGTGTGTGTGTGTGACAGTAGATTGTAAATGACTCTAAATGCCAAATGGAAGGTTTCATATTTGATCCTAGAGGTAATAGTGAGGCACTGAAGTTTATTGAGTGGGGGTGACATGGGCAGACCTACCTTTTAGGAAAATTGCTTTTACAGCTGAGTGGCGGATAGATTGGAAAGGAAACCAATCGGCAAGTTATTACAATAATCCAGGTGATGAGGGACTGTTTTAGGGGAGTGCCTTCATTAGAGGAGAGAAGTGGGTATAAAAAGATATTTCAAAGGTAGAATTGACAGGACTTCGCAACCGTTTGGATATGGGAGCTGAGAGTGAGGAGTAGAGGCTGAGATTGTAAGCCTGGGAGACTGGACTATGAGGATGGTGGTGACCCCTACAGTAACAAGGAAGTTGGGAAGAGGATAGGGCTATAGGGGAAAGATAATGAATTCAGTTTTGGAGATATTGAGTTTAAGATGTCTACAGGATATACAGTCCCAGCTGTCAAATAGGCAGTTGGAAAGATGTAGAACAAAATGTTAAAGATGGTTATCAAAATATTTTTAAAAAAATCTCATCTGCTCCTGGTTAAGAACCCTTGCCCTAGGTTAGATGAAGTTTCTCTGGTAGCAGGGCAAGGATACTGGGGAGCCCATTTGACATTATATATGTCAAGGCTACATATGACTAAGGAAAAGGGTATTTTTTAGTTACATAGAGAGGCAAGATGATCAATTATTTTGTAAACCAATTATTTCATTCTTAATAAGGTCAATGAAAAATCTCTGAATCATTCTCTCCCTCCCCTCTTCATAGGCAGACACATTGGCTCAGCTTCCTTCTAGGACCACCCTCCCCACCATTATCCACTGCCTGCCCCCTTGATACTCCCCTCCCCTTCAAGCAGGAGAAGAGTCAAGAATCCTAGGGTCCAGTGGAAAGTATTCTCCTAGAAATTAGTAAGTAACTGAGAACCACAGAGCAATGTCTCTAAAGGAAGAGTCTAAAAAACACATTTGTAAATATTCTTGTACCAACACTTTGATGGCTATTGACTGAGCCCTCTACCAGCAGAAAGAGAAATTTTCCAGGGACTGACTACATAGATTTCTGAGAATTGTAGCCCAAGTGACCAGGTTTTTGGAAACCTTCCTCCTCTGTCTGCAGATGGGTCTGCCTCAAAGCCTGGCTACATTATCATAAATTCTCAAAAACTTCAGTCCTGCCAGGCCTAGAAACCTCCTCCCTGAACCACATCAGAGTGGCAAGTAGGGCCTTGTAGGGTCTCCTCTGGAAGGGCTGTTATTACCTTTTGCTCCTGTGAAAATTTGTACTCGATACATGTATTTATCAGGCTAACTCCTAGAGAAGCACAGTAGGACTGGTGGGAGGCAGTCTCTTTGGAGTGTGATAACCCCCTTGACAGAGGATATTGGGAAGCCTTTTTTGTTTTTGTTGAGTCATTCAGTCATGTCTGACTCTTCATGACCACATGGATTTGTCCGTGGGGTTTTCTTGGCAAAGATATGGGAATGGTTTGCCCTTTCTTTCCACCGTGTGTCCCCACTTTATAGATGAAGAACTGAGGCAAATAGGGGTTAAGTGACTTGCCCAAAGTCAAACAGCTAGTAAGTGTCTGAGGCTGGATTTGAATTCAGATCTCCCTGACTCCATGTCTGGTGCACACTATCCACTGCACCACTTAGATGCCCTTGGGAAGCCTTTAGTCAACAGCGATTCTGCTTGCTCCTTCCCTGGGGAGAGTCTATTTGTACATCTTCCCCCAACCCTGACCTCTTCCAGGTGGAAGGGGGTGAAGTGGGGGGAGAGCAAGGTAATGGGTCAAATCACTGCCAGAAATTTTTGGTGGTTTTTCTTTTTAAATTAAAAATATAAGTGTCACATTTAAAAAAAATCTTTTTAATTTACTGTTTGTTTTTCAGATATTTTTTGTACTGACCAGTCTTATTTCCCATTAAATATTTATTCATAGATTAGAGGGAGAATAAATGTTATGAATATTAAAGAATCTTTTTGGACCCAAGATCTATGATTTCATAGATATAAGGAAAACTCCATAAATTTGAGGAAACTGTCTCTATCAGTTCAGCTCATTGCAGACTCTAAAATTTTCAGTCTCAGGGCAAGAGTTCTTAATGTTGTTTTGTATCATGGAGCTCTTTGGCAGACCCCTTCTCTGAATCATGTGTAAAATAAAATATATAGGATTGGTTATGAAGAAAACAAATGAAATTGAAATAGTTATAAAAATATTTAAGAAACAAAAAATTTGATGAAGCATCAAGAGATCCTGCTGAAGGTTACACAGCCAGTGTGAGTTTGTATTAGAGGTGGAACTTATCCAGGTCTCTTCCAACTCTCAAATTCTGTGATTTCTATGATGCTATCCACTGCATCTGTCTGTCTTTCAATGTAATCAAGAATATAACCATATATTAATTATGTTTATGTATACTTTATATGCATACATATATTTCTGTATTATATGTATATGTAAATGTACATGTAAATATGTATTTGTGTATATATATATACACATATACACATATATGTAGATTTCCCATATATTTCAAATGCATGAAATTTCCCACATATTCTCCATATTTATTGACAACCATCTTTTTCTTGAATAAAATTCTTCTCTCTGGGATTCCTTGACAGTGTGGCATTTAAAAAGTTTGAGAGACATAATTTGTGGGTAATTAAGTTATTTTATTAATGATACTAGCATTTTAATAAAAGGTCAGTGGTATTCTTGAATGCCAAAGACAATCATGGAAGCAGCTCATGGCTTCTATGTCCCTGGAAGAAGGGTGTTCCTCAGTGTGTCAATCAACTCTGATTGGTTAACAATTGATGAGAGAATGAATATTACAGTGAGGGACTGGATCTATTCCAATGAACTTTGATTATGTCATTTACTTCTAAATTGCCCAGCTGGGCAATCTATTCAAAGAATTTATCCCCACCAAACCTGAGTAGAAGGTTGGGTGGAGTCTGACCAAGATTGAGGAGAATTAATTCAATCTCATTATCAGTAATGTCCTTCAAGAG